AAATTATTAAAATCTGTTTTTAAATTTTTAATAAAGATTTTCATCCAATTATTTTTGTTATCATGTCTAATATTTATGTGTTAATTCAATTAATATTATCATACATTAAAACAAATGATATAATAAGCTCCGACGTTATAAGCATGTTTTATTTATATTATTCAACACCTGTTAAGTAAGATAGCAATTCTTATAAGTGATAATTATATTGGAAATTTAATATTTTAATTGGAAATTGTGATTAATATGGAAAAAATATATGAACGACATTTAAATTAAAAATTAATTAGAAAATTTTGTGTCACATTCATCATATCACATTGCATCACATCCGAATTGTCAGGATTATTGAATAAGGACCTTTTCTGAATTTCACTTAACGTCTTCTGAGAAAAATTCACGAACTCGATTATTTTTATTGGTTACTTTCATCTATGTATTACGTACGACAACTGGGGAGGGTCGTACGTAAGAATAATCTGACGAGCTTGAACATGTCCATTCCAACCAACCAACCATCTAACCGCTCCCCCCACTGATAAATATAAATAGTGATATACATCATCTACCATTTTTCTTTTTATCATCTAAACCAGTATTAATCAAACTGTGGGTCACCACCCTTAGGAGAGTCGCGAAGAGTTACTCGAAAGGTCGCCGGGAAAAAGAAAAAGGTAAAGTTCCAAACTACATATAACAAAAACTATGTCTTTAGACTTTTAATTTAAGAATTTCCTTGCCTGTCTAAGCCACAAGGAGATCTTAAATTATTTCAACCCGTAATGGGGTCGCGAATTCAAAAGATTGAAAAACACTGATCCAAACTTTGCAACCCAATAGGTCTCCAGAATGGTCAAGTAAAACCCCATTTACGAGTACACTATAAGCTCCCCTTTAATATAATATTTATTCGACATATCAGGCTAGAGATGCCATCTATATACGGTTTTCTTAGATAAGAATAATCACTGTTTTCTATGTAAGTAGTTTAAAAAGTCACGTATATTAAAATCGTGTAATTAGGTTTTTAATAAAGAAGCAATGTTGAGGCAGCACTTAACACAACAGGCAACAATTTGCGAAACCTCCCGATTGTTCTTGCAAAATATCGAGGACTAACACAAAATCTTAAGAAAATTAATTTCATAGTAATACAAGTTCAGATGAATTGGTTGATATTCATGAAGAATCACTTATGGTAACTCAGTCTGAACTGAATGATTTAGTAAGAGATTTTTTTGTTAAAATCATAAATAATATTTTTTCAGAGAGGGATATGTTGGATTTTCTTAATATTTTTTTTACTCGCTGCACCGCTACCATGTAAAGTAGTGTAATTAAAAATTACTTCATAATACTCTTAAAAACATCTATGTACAGACAGTTGTTGTAAACTGGTTATGTAAAGCCAGAAGTATATGTAAATAACGGTAAAAATAATAAAGTTTATAAATTGCGAAAGGATTTGTATAGCCTCGAAGAAAATTTTACCATTTCAATTATTCATCAGAGACTGTTGAGGCTTCTATATTCAGGCAGTTATCGTACATCACTTTTAATGAACGCAATCGCACCAATTAACACTCATTATCTACATCTGTCAATGAAAGTGTTAAGAACGCTGGCAGAACTCTAATACTATCTAAAGCAGCCTTCTTCTTCAAAATCCTTGCCTTAGCTCAATGATCTTACGTAAACAAAGAACAACAGAGGTACATGATCACATCTGTTATGAAACTTTACTAATTAACAAATTTTTTAAAAGCTTGGGTTGCATTTAACTTAAATTTTTATAACCTACCTTGCGTAAATACTTGGCAATTGGATTGGTTATAACATTTAGTATATCAAGAATAACATCGTTTTAACTAGCTATGAATTGAATTATTTAGTTAATTACTTCAATTATACTATAACTTTATTTGATGCTATTTACTATGATTGATTGTTTGACTGTGCAACTGTAATATCAACTCTGTGTAATTAAACATTATTTCCCACTTCTTAGTTCGATTAGCTATGAAAGTATTCTTTGTAAGGTCTTGAACTACATAATTTTAACTACAATTTTTTCTATAACGACAAATGATATTGATATTATTACACGAGAGGAAACAAAATAAACATAAAACTATTAAATAAGTGAAATGATATTACAATCATTCAATTACAGATTAGGTAAAATTTGTTCAAAAGACAATTTCCTTATATATTTTGTACTCACTCCCTGAAAAATCTATTTGCTATATTTACTTGGTAGGAGCCGAATATTTACAGTAAAAGATAACAGAAAAAAAATCCTACTTTACTTTCTTAGTAAATATGCGGATGTGGGTTCGAAACCTGGCAAGTACCGATGTGACTTTTTCCGAATCATATGTACTTTCTGAGAGTTAAGACACCACTGAAAAGAAATGAATGGAAACATCGCGAGGACACCTGGACTTAATATTTCAAATTATAAGTTTGATATCATCAATACGCCTTGAGCTAGCGTGTCGAATAACCTTCTGTATGTGATAAGAGGCCTTTTGTCCAGCAGTCGGCTCCTTGGTAAAATGATGATGATGAGTTTTTTAGGAACGTAAATTCAACTTTAAGATAATTATTAAAAAAGTAAACTATAAGTTTATAATTAGTTTCTTCGACAGTCTGTATTTACAGTGACTATGCTTAGCATATTACTAAAATTAGATTGATAAATCTAAGGTTATACATTTAATATATCTAAGGCATGTCTAAGGTTATACAAATAATATAAAATAAATGTTTCACTTCTGCTTAAAGTTTCTAGGTATACACGTTAAATACCTTTATACAAATTTTTTGTTAATATAGTAAACTTTTACTTAATTTTTTTAAGAGATACTAAAAATAATTTCGAAGTACGATATTTATCAACAATTATTAATAATTTGAATGGACTTATAGGTTATTCTTTTATTTTCTAATCTATATACAGGGACCGATTAATATAAATGAACAACGATTCTCCTACTGCAGATATGGCTAAACAATACTTCTCATCAGGGATGTTACGGTACTGTAAGTTTAGTTCCTCATGATTTCTGAGAAGGAAAATGAAAAGATTCGTAGTTCAACTTCACCTTCCACATTTTCTAAACTTCTGAGTCTTGTTAGGTTCCTAAAATTAGTGTAGAAGTGTATAGTGTAATCTGAGCTTCAGACTTGACAATATTCAAATATAAAACAGTATTTGTAATAGCACTTTTGAAAAATTCAACGGCAGCTAGAAAAAACAAACAATGAAAATCTCCAATAATACTGCAAAAGTAAGTATGAACAAAAGTAAAGCACTAGAATTGGCAACAGACTATGGAAAATTGTTTGAATCCGTTTTCTTTTTAATTTTGATTTCCTATAAAAGTGGTGCAAAGTAACTTACAACATATTTTTATCGACGTTGCACAAGACTAGCTTATTATAATTAACTAAGCGAAAACAAAAGAATAGACCCTGTATCTCATTTTGGATAAAATAAAACTTCAATAAAAGGGAATCTTAATCATTCATCCTAACCAGTTCCAATGGTTGCAGTCAACTCTAACAGAGGGAATTTGAATTGATGTTACCACAGAGAAGTTATAAAAACATTTTTATGACAATTTGTATTGTGTTGAAAAAAGGCCTTATGAATTAAAACTATAGGTCACATTATGCTATCTAATATTTTCGCATGTACTCTTTGAAATGATACTAAGTTTTTCGGATACTACACGTTTCGATTACTTTATAACTACACACGTCCGCCGGTGATCACGGTTGCTATAAAAGAACCGAAATCGAGATTATGCTGTAATAAAATAATAAAAATACGCGTTATATTATAAAAATCTTAGTTTCATTCATATATCACATGTCGATGTTGTCAGTCCTCAGATAGAGTCACGAAAGTCGCAGATAACAATATAAATTTTGTACACTATTTTTAGCAAGCGATATTATATTATAAAAATAATCAATCAAACGAGCTTATAAGAGATAATTAATTAATTAGTTACAAAACGTAGAAATTATCATTTAATTGTTTTTATTTGTTTAAACATTTTCTGTATACTTTCTGTATACGTAAGTAAATGATTTTATCTAAGAACCTTTTTAAGTTTACTTATCACTGTATTAATGGTACCCAACTCCAGTTTGTCCAATATTTACATTTTAAATTAAGATAATTTTAACATTACCGACATTTTGGTCGTTAAAAAACTTTCAGAGGGCTTTGTGTGATTAAGATTTTAATTTCCATTCCTTTTTAATACTTCTGTTTCGACTTATTTCAAATTTAACCTACTTTGAACAAATCGTACGTGAAATTCAGCCAATAATAATAACCAAGTACCTCTTCAAACGTCTTTGAGAAATACATATATTGTTTGTATAGATAGTCTATAAATATATGTAGATGAATCCAAAATGAAAATACGTTCAAACTTTTCATAACGTGAGGGCAATATTTATAAAACATTTGTACAGTAATAAAAACCTGCCTTAAAACTGAACAAAGTGATGAATTAACATGGAGAATATACGAAACCGCTTAGAAAAATAAAAATTCGATTTGAGTTTTGGGTCTGATAATATTCAAATCCACTAAATCATAAAAAATCAAAGACAAATCACAATACCCTGAAAAGTACGGTCAGAAAATGGTCAGGTGAAAAACATTAATGAATACAAAGTGTATTATTGAAATGTAGCTGTTAACCTTATGATTAGAGATACTCGATCGTCGTGAAATTTACACACAAAGACGGGTTACTTTTACTGGCAATTAATCTAATCTATACTTTTCTGGATTGTTATGAAAGTGGCCCTCAAAATAAGTTCTAAAATTAAAAATATCGTGAATTTAATCTCAGATTGAGGTTTATTAAAGAAATATCAAGTAATTAATTAAAATTAAATGCAATGATTAGATATTAATGAGTATAAAAGCACATAGCATTAAACTAATTTTGCTGCATTGTCAAAAACGTAATATGCATTATTTCCTCCTGCTTGTCGTCGGTCTAGCCGTGGCTGTTTCAGCCTACGAGCCCATCAACAATGACTACCACAACACCATAGGTGTTTATGAAGCTGCTCGTATCAAAAAGGCTGAAGAGTCAATTGACTTCGACGGCAGCAGGATCACAGGAGGAAACGCTGCTTCACTTGGTCAATTCCCTTATTTGGTAATTTTAGCTTTGTAAATCAATTTGTATACTGTTACGCTCGTATTTTTGTCCAAAATATAATTTACGTATTTATATTTCAGGGCGGTTTACTCATCACATTACAAGATGGCAGACAATCAGTCTGTGGTTCTAGTCTTATCAGTAACACCAGATCAATAACTGCAGCTCACTGCTGGAGAACTGGTAGAGTTACTGCCCGTCAATTCACTATTGTTCTTGGTTCTACAACTCTGTTCTCTGGCGGCACCCGTGTAACCACTAGTAATGTTCGTGTCCACCCGAACTACAATGCAAACACTGTAGCCAATGACATAGCTGTTATTATTTTCAACAGCATTTCCTTAAATGGTAAGAATGTATATACTTCTATATTATATAAGTAAAGTGACTGAAAGAGCAGAAATAAAATTGATTGTTTATTTATTACAGACAACATAAGGCCCATCGGCCTGGCCAGTGGTTCTAACCTATTTGTGGGAACTTGGGCAACAGCTATTGGTTTTGGTCGTACCAGTGATTGTAAGTTTTTATAATAATTTTATCATACTTAACGATTTATTACAATGAAACTAATATTTTTTCGGACTATACGGTGAGTATTTTATTATTTTAAAAACTAATTATTCCGACGTTTTGGTTACTTTCAACAACCGTGATCATGGGATGACGAGATTTATTACAATTATTTTCAAGACAATATTAGTAAAAATACATTTATAGAACATTGTTTAATAATATTTGTTATTCCTCAGCGTCCGGTGCCTCTCCCAATCTCAGACACGTCAACTTGCAAGTAATCACCAACGCGGTTTGCAGACGTACCTATGGCCGAATTATAATTGATTCCACAATTTGTGTCGCTACTCCTAATGGACGTAGCACGTGCCAAGGTGACTCTGGAGGTCCTCTTGCTGTAGGAAACACATTGGTGAGTAATACTATAAAATAGTATAAAAAAATTAAACTTTTTATCGTCCGTACTGTCCATAGCAGTTGTGGTGGTCTAGAGGTTAAAGGCCCGCGTCTCGTGCATGAGAGCGCGGGTCCGAAACCTGGCATGTACCAGTGTTATTTTTCCGAGTCATTTGTACTGTCTAAGAGTATTTAGACACCACTGACTGACGGTTAAGGAAAACATCGTGAGGAAACCTGGACTTATAGTTTCACAATTATAAGTTTGAAATCGCCAACAAGTCTTGACCAAGCGTGGTGATTAATTCTCAAATCTTCTCCATGCAAGATGATCCCTTTGCTCAGCATTGGGCTCTGATAGACTGATGATGATGATCTTCCATACAATTTACATGATTGTTTTTATAGATTGGAGTGACATCATTTGGTCATCGTAGTGGATGTACTCGGGGACACCCAGCTGCATTTGGAAGAATCACATCCTTCTATTCTTGGATCCGTGGCAATATGTAAACTTTGCAGTTCTTAAAGAAACTTGATTAAATACAGAGCATGCTTGAAATAAATTATTGATTTTTATTTATTGAAACAAAGGATTCATCGGATTTTTAATATTTAGTTTTAATAGTAATAAATATTCATTTAATACTACTTACAAATAAAGTTGAAAAAGAATATGAAATTCTAATTATTTTCCTTTTGGATAAAGTTTTTGAATACGCTCTATGTCTAAGTCGAGACGTAGTAAATAGCTGATTGGCTCACCCTATTACTAGTAGTTACCATTATAATTATTTATTACGTCATTGTTCATATATATTACGAAAAGAAGTCCTGCTTATTGTTTATATATTCTCTATCAGCTAACCTCCAGAAGATAGGGGAAAGAATGTTTAGGCTGTGTAAACATAGAATGCAATGATTAAATAAAAAAAACAAAAACCCATGACTTTAAAATACAATACATTAACCATCTTATAAAGCTAAAAAATTAGGTAAAATAATAATATAAGTAATAAAATTTTCACTTCGCCTCTCTAGATAATATTGCAACTAGTTAATTATTATTGTGCCATTTTTGAGGCAAATAAAAACATATTTTGACTAATTTAAATCAGGTATATTCTCATTATACAAGGTGTCAACTTAGCGAGAATTAATTGATTTTGACAAAGCAATAAATATAATATTTTTTAATACAAAGTAAAGCTACCAATATTAAAGTTAATAATCATTCTTTTAAAATAAGATAAACAAAAAACGTAAAGAAAATCCTTATTTAACCAGATTAATGGGAATATGCTATTTTAAGTAATTCTCTTAATATGATAAAACGTATATATACATATGTATATAATAGTTTATCTTCATATTGATTGATTTTTTTATTTTTACAAAACGATTGTGACAATTTAATATTTTTGAGTGTATATATACATAAACATACATATGTACTATCTCTTTTTATTAAGTGTATATGTAAATCCTTATTTCTGTAGACTGTACAACAAGATTTAAATAATAATTAGGTTAAGAACATTGCACTTCATATTGAGATCTATTGTTTTATGTTACTAAACAGTGTTATATTTGATGTCAAAATATTTAAAGGTGTATAAGAAACAAAAGGTATATAAGATCCTTAAGTAACATCAACTTTCACAAATTACCCTTAAAAAACACAAATTGTAACAGTTCATTAATACTAACTCTTGAATTTACCAGTTTAAAAACTCGGTGGGATAAACATTTACCAGTGAGATCTACGCAATTTTACAAAAAAATTAAAAGTTTAATATTTCTCCAATAAGAAAAGTTTCTATTCGGTGCTAAAATTAAAACAGTTGCCTACGAAAAAATCCGTAGCAAAACTACAACAAAAGGTATTTACTAAATATATATTACAGAAGTTAAATCTTTTTATCTGTTAATCTTTAGAGATTTAATCTATATTTTTGACTGTTCAAAAATCAATAGCAATTCCAAATTTAATAAAATGGAATTATTTTCTGTTAAAGAACCTAATATCATAAATGTGACGAAAAATTTGAGATGCTCCCGTTTTCATATGAAGGTAAAATCTACTGAGAGTAATTTATGAAATACATGCCCAAATAAAAGCGTACGAGGGAGCTTTACGCATTTCTCTTTCACTCTTTACGGTTACGTGCAAGTTATTTGCTTACGCCCTTTTAAATGTATAAAAAACAAGAGAAAATATAGAATACTATGTAACAAAGCCTATTTACAACAGAACGTTACCAAATTTAATCAAATACATCACACTGGTCAGACATAGCTGCACAAAAAAAAACGATGATCGAATGAAGTTATTTCAATGAATAACATCAAAATTAAATAAACACACAAATAATACGTCAATATTTTGAAAAACTTTTAGCTCATATATTATTTTATACGCAACAAAAAAAAGACGCAACATTCGCTTATCTATTACAACCGATTCGTTTCAAATTTCAAATTTCAAAGGAGATCATTCTTTTTGGACCTTTTCTGAAAGTGCCGGCCAACAAAAAAAAAATGGTACATATTCTTAGAACTAACCATTTGGAGCAATAGTTAATATGGCGCCAAAGTTGTAGGATCCAAGATATAGAAGTTATACAAGTTCTATGACTCATCATTTTCGTACATTTATTTTTCTGAAAGTGCCAGGAAACATAAAATAATGATTGATATTGCTAGAGTTAAGCTTCTCAAGCAAATCATTATAGCGAGAAAGCCATAATCTGTTCTCTTGTACATGTAAGAAACCTGTGTTTTTTATGTAATACTAGCGAACCCGACAGACGTTGTTCTGCCCAGTATCTGAACGCATTCAACACAATTTGTTTGTTGTTGATTTTACTATTTGTCTAAACTAATATGTATATCGGGGTGCCATTTTTATATATTAAAACAACGTTATTTAGCATTCTACGCTATATAACGTTGTTATATAGCAACGACTAGCTATTTCACAATATTATTGCTCATGCCCAATAGGAAAACGGACAATAGGGTGTTGTTCACCCACCATGACTATCGTGTGGTATATGGGTTTCGCACGGTATGAGAACATACGTGTACAAGCACAAGGCCTGGAAGATGAAATTATAACATTAAATGATGTATAATTAGAATACTATAATAAAATAATGAAATCAACAACAAACAAATTGTGTTGCATGCGTGCAGATACTTGGCGGAACAACGTCTGTCGGGTTCACTAGTATTACATTAAAATGACAGGTTTCTTACATGTACAAGAGAACAGATTATGGCTTTCTCGCTATAATGATTTGCTTGAGAAGGTTAACTCTAGCAATATCAATCATTATTTTATGTTTCCTGGCACTTTCAGAAAAATAAATGTACGAAAATGATGAATCATAGAACTTGTATAACTTCTATATCTTGGATCCTACAACTTTTGTGCCATATTAACTATTGCTTCAAATGGTTAGTTCTAAGAATATGTACCATTTTTTTTTGTTGGCCGGCACTTTCAGAAAAGGCCCAAAAATATATGAAACCTGAATGATCTCCTTTCAAATTTCAAATTTATTTATTTCAAAAAGTTATTTTACACATTTTATAAATTTATTGCTTCAATACCATCGAAGAATGAATTTCATTGGTGTTGTTGTTTTACAAAAAAATATGTATACCTTTGTTAGAGGACATACATATAATTATATATTTTTATTACAAGTACCTATTGAATAAACAAATCAAACAAATATTAGCACAGTATTGGAATCTCACTATATGATATTACAACAGCTTATTTCCTTATACTTATAAAAATTCGTTAAACGGAACGCTACCGTTACAACCGTTACAAATATAATCTTATCATATTAATTTTACAAATATTATATTCTAATTGAATTTAAGGCTAATGTTATTAGCAATAGATAAGTTTAGTGAGATTAGATATTGTAGTCTATAAAAAGCCTGTACCACTTATATCAGTCTTCACATTGAATCTCCTCCGGTGGAGCTTTTATACATTTGATTTCGAATAACAAATTATTAAAACATAAATTGAATACCCCATATATGATAAAGTATGATACTAGATAGGAAAAGAAATTGACATTTAGATAACTGTGGGAAATTTGCCAAACATCTTGGTAAAAAAGAAAATTGTGAACTATAGTTGTCGAATATTAGGCAGTCATTAATAAAAATAAATAATTAGCAAAACAGTGACCTTACTATACATGAACATATTTATAAATATATGTATATATATATATATATATGTATATATATATATATATATATATATAAGCAGTACATGATAACGACTATTAGATGTCCAAACTACTAAACAAATAATTTAAGTATTATTTTATAGTAACATAAAATATTGGCAACACTATAGAAACAAGTTAATCATAGGTAAACTTGTAATTAGTTAATAAGTAGAAGTAGTACAGGTGGATAAGAAGACAAAAAAAGAAACTCTGAAAAGACATAAAGTACTCGCCAACAAAGATGTGATATGGAGAATTGAAATAAAAGAAAGACTGAGTATGCATCATCGAGAACCGGTATGGTAAACTGTTCAATACGGTCTACCAAAATCATATTCTGGGAACAACAAACGTATTATTATTATTTTTAATTTACACTAGCTTTCCGCCCGCAGCTTCGCCGCGTGGAGTTCGGTTATATCGCGTTTCCAAGAGAACCTTTCAAAAGTCTGGGATAAAAACTATCCTATGTTCTTTCTCAAGGTCAACTCTATCTCTGTACCGAATTTCATTAAAATCAGTTCAGTGGTTTAGGCGTGAAAGCGTAGCAGACAGACAGACAGACAGACAGAGTTACTTTCGCATTTATAATATTAGTAGGGATGACTAGCACAGAACTCACAAAAGCAAAATTATTTATAATTCCTTAATAAAATTACAAATATTATCAGTTAGAATTTATTCGCTCAGTTCAGAAAAAGTAATTAAAGCAATTGACGAAAACAGTATAAACGATATACAAGTATATCATTAGGTATAGTATGTGTTCTGTGCTGGTCATGTGGACTTAAAGGAATAAACTGCTATTATATGTATATTCTACCTACCCCAAATCATATTTCTGAGCACGCACCCGGCTGACTGCTAAAATTCAGCTGACCTTTATGTTTATTTTCAGTTGCAAGTAAACTATCACAAGTTCAATTTTATTTGAGACGATTACACTGTAAGTATAAATACATATATTTCTTCATGTTTGAGCCAGCACGTAACTTACAATATAGTGTAATACAGTCAAAAGATTGCTGTATTAATCCATACTTTGTTTTAGCTACAATTATTTAAATATTGAACGGAGAGGAAATGTTTAAATGAAACATGTTATTTTTATTCGTGATTAGAGGCTCCGGAACACTATTACCTACCCGATGAGCCGCAGTTGTTGTTCACCCAGTTTTGTTTTACAACTCGGATGAATTCTACTAAATACCACTTAAGAGAAATTTTCTCATAAATTTTTGTGACTAGCACCCACACCTTTGAAGAGTGAGATATATACATATTTCTTATAATTTATCTCACCACGCAATAAAAAAACCGCTCATGTTCTAGAAAGCAAATCCTTTGTATTTACTTATCTCTAACGATTTCGTTAAACGAAATTATTTCGATTCGCCGTTAGTAACGTAATCTTATCACATCCATTGTACTAGTATTATCGTCGAATAAAATATAGGCAAAGCTATTAGCAACAAATAATTTATATAAGATTTAATTATAAAAAATGATGATTAGATATTATTCACTATAAAAAGGCTTTAGCATGGAACTATCTTATTAAGTCTTCAACATGAAACTCTTCCTGGTTGTCGTCGGTCTAGCCGTGGCTGTTTCAGCCTACGAGCCCATCAACAATGACTATCACAACACCATTGGTGTTTATGAAGCTGCTCGTATCAAACAGGCTGAAGAAGCCGCTGACTTCGACGGCAGCAGAATCGTAGGAGGAAACGCTGCCTCCCTCGGACAATTCCCTTATTTTGTAAGACATTTTCTATTTGATATGTTTCATTTTTAAAGTTTACATTTGAAGTTGAAAACTGATATGTATTTTTGTGCAAATCCAGGGCGGTTTACTCATCACACTGCAAGATGGCAGACAATCTGTGTGTGGTTCTACCCTTGTCAGCAACAACAGATTGGTAACAGCAGCTCACTGCTGGACAACCGGGAGGGTTCAGGCTCGACAACTCACTGTTGTTCTCGGCTCTGTAACTCTATACTCTGGAGGTGTTCGTATTAACACTAGCAATGTACGTGTCCACCCTGGTTTTAACGTGAACACTGTAGCTAATGACATAGCTGTGATCATTATTACCAGCATATCTTCAAACAGTAAGTGTGTCATATGATTATATTTCTATAAACTGAAGTTGTTAGAGCGTATAAACATTATTTATTTTTCTTTACTATTACAGACAACATTAGACCCATCGGTCTGGCCAGCGGTTCCAACCTATATGTGGGATCTTGGGCAACAGCTGTTGGATTTGGTCGCACCAGTGACTGTAAGTTTAGTTATAATTTTCTCACACTGAACACTGTATTCGAAAAGTTTTCTATTGTTCTTCAAGACAACATTTGGAACTAAAGTTAAAGTTCATTTTTTAATAATATCTGTCAATCTTCAGCTTCCGGCGTCTCCCATAATCTAAGACACGTCAACTTGCAAGTGATCACCAATGAAGTATGCAGAAACACCTATGGCCGTATTATCATTGATTCATCACTTTGTGTCACTACTGTCAATGGTAGGAGCACTTGTGGAGGTGACTCTGGTGGTCCCCTCGCCGTTGGAAACGTACTGGTAAGTTCTTTGATAACAGAACTATTTTATGTTTAATTTTTTACCCGACTCTTTTATTTACATTACAACACACGTTTTACAGATTGGAGTGACATCATTCGGTCACAGAAGTGGTTGCGCTAGAGGACATCCAGCTGCTTTCGCAAGAGTATCGTCTTTCAATTCTTGGATCCGCAGCAATATGTAAAAACAATGTTTTTCTTTCTTCTAAACCATTGAAATATACTTTCAATAAATTATTTGCGAAAAAATATTTTTTACCTTTTTTCATTCCAATCACTATCGGCAAAGCTGCAAAACAAAATTTAATCCCCCATGTAGTCACTTAACATTCTTTTTTATTGAATTTTGTTTATGTGACTTTTTTGGGCTTTCATTTACTATGAGATAATCAAATGTAACTTACAGGTCGACTAGTTGATCAAAAGTTGATATTCCGCGCAGTTCTAGTGGATTCAATGATTCATTTTCCGCTTATAATCTATAATATTAATTTTTAACCCTTTAATAAAATAATTATGCAAGCATCTTCGAATAAATTTGCGAGAAATAATTTTTAAGCTACCACCACGCACTGAACTTAATCTTCTAAAAAATATAACATTCTAAGGTTGGCCACATATCTCGTAAATTAAGCTCTTAACTACTATAATTATAATACTTATATTTCAGTACAACATCAAGTAAATAAATAATTATATATTAAATTCGTAAAAGTGTACCGAAAATTTTAAAGTAAGTACTATACAATAAACGATAAAAATCCTCAAATTTGGTACACAATCCATAAGAAGATTCGATTTGTTTGCAAAACTGTAAAGCTTAATAAACAAAAATAAAAAATGATATGTCTTGATTTTATTTAGATTATTCCGCACTTACTCTGTGATTAGAGGATTTTTCTTTTTTGGGAATTACTAAGCTTCGGTTTCCTTATACAGCTTCGGAATACATGAATATCATTTAAGTTCAATGTTAAGGTAACCCATCCTAGGCAATTAAAAAAACCGAGAAAATATAGACACCCCAAAAGTATTTAACTAACGAGACGGTCAACATTTAATCACGCAAACATATAATGCTCCTCCAAGGAGTTACTGACTGAAACGTGCCAATATCGATTTACTTTACCCTATACTCTAGTTTGTGTTTCAAGTCTGCGTTTGACAGGTAGTCATTTTCAAATATTTCACAGAACTATTCATAGTTTTCAAAGTTCATTTCAAAGAGAACTCCAATAAACTTTTCGAGTTATTCTTAGTGAGATATTTCGTTTAATACCCATTTTGTAGCAGTACACTTAAGATAACTATTCATTTGTCTTAAATTATTTTATTAACTCCACAAGATTAAATTATCACATTAATAAAAAAAACATCTCCATAAATCAATCCGATAACGATATGGAAACCGAAGAATATAATCTACAAAGAACAAAAATAATCTAAGAAAAAATAAAAACTTAACTTAGACTATCTGTCTGGATTTTGATAAGTCTGTTCCGCAACGCAAATATCTTTTATCGCTTATCGTCAATTTAATAAATCGTATAATCACGCTGCATCGAAATACTACACAAAAAATCCTGTTTTCTAAAATCCATAGGTTGTGAATTAATTATTAAATAATTCAAGTACCATGAAAAAAAATATACCCAATAAAAAAAAATATTCAATGTAAAAAACAACAGTGGGCCTTTAAAAATTAAATAAAACATTTATTTATTTGCCTTTATCAACATATTTATTTCTCTACCCTGAAGTTGATTACTATTTTTAAAAAAATCGTGGAACCATATTGCTGACGAGAAGTATTCAGAAATTGTTGAAATGGTTGGTACTGCAACTGTAGGGATTTCATTAAATTCAGTTAAATTTCGGAACTAATTCATGAGTAAAAAAAATGTTGTACCTCCACAACTATAGAATAGCTAGATTTAGATGTCGCCACTCCTAAACAATAAAATATAAATGTGACTTCTAGGGTATATTGTTCACCATTTATTTCACAGAAGAGGAGGCCACATGAATTTAAAATAGGGAATTCACGAATTCACGAATGTAAAAGTAATTGTTATTGTCCTCACGGATAACCAAAAAGGATTCTCTACCGTATTGTGCCCAAAAGACTACATAGCGAAAACATATGAAGTTTATTCATGTAACATATTTATGTTTATTTTATAATAGTAATTTTTGGCAACTCTTAATAATGTGGTAGTTTTAGAGTTTGCAGTTTCATAATTTTTGCAAAATCAAGTAAGAAAACGATTATTTTAGAAACATATACCACAACAATGACTACAAGTTTGCTCGTTTTGAAATATAATAATAATTGGTGTACATTTATGTCACGTAGTAAAATTGAAAAGGTTTCATTTAACCACGCCAAGGTATATAAATTCAAAACGTTCGCAACAGAAAGTAACTACTTATCTGTAACGAATTCGTTTAACGAAAATATTTCGATGGGCCGTTAGTAACGTAATCTTATCATACACATTTTACTAGTATTATCTTCGAAACGAATTAAGGACATGATATAAGCAACAAATGAATTATATAAGAATTAATTATAAAGAAGATGATTAGATATTAATGACTATAAAAAGGATTTAGCATTGAACTATCTCATTAAGTCTTCAACATGAAACTCTTCCTGGTTGTCGTCGGTCTAGCCGTGGCTGTTTCAGCCTACGAGCCCATCAACAATGACTATCACAACACCATAGGTGTTTATGAAGCTGCTCGTATCAAACAGGCTGAAGAAGCCGCTGACTTCGACGGCAGCAGAATCGTAGGAGGAAACGCTGCCTCCCTCGGTCAATTCCCTTATTTTGTAAGACATTTTCTATTTGATACGTTTAATTTTTAAAGTTTGCATTTATAGTCAAAACCTAATAGATATTTTTGTGCAAATCCAGGGCGGTTTACTCATCACACTGCAAGATGGCAGACAATCTGTGTGTGGTTCTACCCTTGTCAGCAACAACAGATTGGTAACAGCAGCTCACTGCTGGACAACCGGGAGGGTTCAGGCTCGACAACTCACTGTTGTTCTCGGCTCTGTAACTCTATACTCTGGAGGTGTTCGTATTAACACTAGCAATGTACGTGTCCACCCTGGTTTTAACGTGAACACTGTAGCTAATGACATAGCTGTGATCATTATTACCAGCATATCTTCAAACAGTAAGTGTGTCATATGATTATATTTCTATAAACTGAAGTTGTTAGAGAGTATAAACATTATTTATTTTTCTTTACTATTACAGACAACATTAGACCCATCGGTCTGGCCAGCGGTTCCAACCTATATGTGGGATCTTGGGCAACAGCTGTTGGATTTGGTCGCACCAGTGACTGTAAGTTTAGTTATAATTTTCTCACACTAAACACTGTATTCGAAATTGTTGCTATTGTTCTTCAAGACAATATTTGAAAATAAAGTTAAAGTTCATTTTTTAATAATATCTGTCAATCTTCAGCTTCCGGCGTCTCCCATAATCTAAGACACGTCAACTTGCAAGTGATCACCAATGAAGTATGCAGAAACACCTACGGCCGTATTATCATTGATTCATCACTTTGTGTCACTACTGTCAATGGTAGGAGCACTTGTGGAGGTGACTCTGGTGGTCCCCTCGCCGTTGGAAACGTACTGGTAAGTTCTTTAATAACAGAACTATTTTATATTTAATTTTTTACTCGACTCTTTTATTTACATTACAATACACGTTTCACAGATTGGAGTGACATCATTCGGTCACAGAAGTGGATGCGCTAGAGGACATCCAGCTGCTTTCGCAAGAGTATCGTCTTTCAATTCTTGGATCCGCAGTAATATGTAAAAATAAAAGTTCCTAAATAATTTAATTATATAGAAATTTATCAAATTTATATACCTAATATAAAATTCAAGTTCAGCTGATATTTCGTCTCTAAATCCAACTGCGTATAATAAAAAGTCTTGGATAATGAACATATGTTAACGTATTTATAAAAATATTTGATAAAGATATGTACTAAGTATTCATTTAAATAAAAAACCAAGAATTGAATATTGAATACACGTTATGTTGAAAAACTAAATGTTGATTTTTTTTAATATCTGATATTATAAAAATAAAAGATCTACACAGTTAAAAGCTGAAAATCAATGAAATTAATAAATAATCACACCTAAAATATTCCCTTCATATTGTTACTATAAATTTCATGATGAAAGATTTTAATAAATAGAAAAAATGTTTGAAGGCTGTTTATCTTGTAATAAAAAAGATAAAACGCCTTTTTCAAAGCCTTGAAATATTCTAGAAGTTTCTTATATTGAAATTAGTCAAGTTTGAACAAGCAAGAACACTAACGGAGTCTTGAAATCCCAATAAATCGATTATGCTTTTAAAAATAAATAATATATTTCAAAAAACTTGTGTTTCAAGTTTTTTATTCCTTACAAGCAACATTTTTTCTTAAAGCAAGAGTTTTTCTACCACTTTGACTAGCTGCGCTATAATAACTGTAAATATGATAAATGTTGTGTTGAAAATTAAGCCGGGTAACATGACGTCTCAGACTGATGCGCATACTACATATAAACAATTTTGCTATTATTCATGTACCTGTTACCGATAATGTTTTCGTCACACAATCTTTTATTATCTTATCTAAAAACATTACTTTTAACGAGAATTGTTATAGGATGTGACGCTTATAGTATTTAAAAAGATGATAAGACCAAATGATATAAGAGAGATTAAATATTATTGACTATAAAAAAAGCCTTTAGTTCATAAAGACTACATGAAATATAAAACTACCACATGAAGTTTTCAACAAGAATATGTCGTATTTTAGCGACTCTCTAACTAATTCTCGTTAGTCTATCCCTAACTGTTTCAGCCTACGAGCCCATCGACAATGACTATCACAACACCATAGGTGTGTATGAAGCTACTCGTATCAAACAAGCTGAAGAATTAGCTGACTTTGATGGCAGCAGGATCACAGGAGGAACAATCGCTTTTGTTAATAACTAACCATTGCAAAATAAAATTTACTAGGTCAAACGCGTTAATTGAGTACATCACAGTGTGATATCACCCGTGCCAGTTCTTTATTGAAATAGTGAACACTTCAGTGAAAAACCTTTGGTCAAAAAACTATTGATGTTTCAAGAATAGCCTCTTTTTTTAATTTCAAACCTATGTGTATGAGTTGCTCTATTTTAAGAGTTGAAGATATTCGCTTATTGTTGAACTTTAGAATAATAAATCCTTATTTCGAATAAGTATTTTCCTTTATTTTTTAATAATAAATATTCAATTCCTGCTTCACCGTATTAAAATAATAGTAATATTTTTTTCTATTTCTGTAAAAGTCACTACTAAGTCATAAATATATTTGGTAACGCCTGCCAAAAAACAAATACAATAAACCTCTGAAGAGTTTAATTTAAAATGAAGGCGCTTTACAAATTAAAAACTTTTTGGTATTCTTTCAGAATTAAAATGAATCATATCGAGTATATCCACCTACCTCTTTCTTTTTTCCCTCTTGATCATTAATATAACATAACACTTACCTGAAAGAAAAGAAAAATTATTTAATATAATATACTTTTGTATTAATTCTTCGGAAGAATTTTTCAATTATTTAACGACAATATATAAAAAAAATTGTAATTTTTATCAACGTGTATGTATTGATAAATATAGCAATGTCGTTAAGTTACTCAATCTATACTAATATTATAAAGCTGAAGAGTTTGTTTGTTTGTTTGTTTGTTTGAAGCGCTAATCTCCGAAACTACTGGTTTGAATTGAATAATTCTTTTTGTGTTGTATAGTCCAGTTATCGAGGAAGGCTTTAGGCTATATAACATCACGCTACGACCAATAGGAGCAAAGATATAGTGGTAAATGTGTAAAAAACGGGAGAAATTATTTCATCTTTGAAGCCTTCCGTTGCGTGAGCCGTGGAAACGGTTCAAGATACACAAAAAATATGTATTAAAGAATAATAGCTCTTTTAATGATCTAAGAAACAGTCCACGACAGTATGTGTCTATCTTTTAAGATTAACTCACAAAAACCGTTTTTATGGTACCTAATTTGGTCGAAATAATTTGTGTTGGATCAACATAATAATATTAATCTTTATTCAAATAAACAAATAAATATGTTGATGGTTAAGAGTACTTCATTGTGAATAAAAAAAAACATAGGTTTTATCCTGAAAATTCTACGGGAACTCGACCATTCCGAAAACCCCACAAGAACGGGAACTATGTGGGAAGAACCAAAAATCTGCCGTAAGTCACTATTCCACGCGGACGGAGTCGCGGCAAAAGCTAGTATATGTATATGCATTAATTAATTATGCAGTAATTAGATAACAATGTGCCATTATAACTAACTAATTCACAAACTCATAACCAACACAGAGCTGGTTTCACAGAAATAATTTCTTAGAATTCATGAAAATGTCAATAATTAGATACCTTAAATACAGTTTTTATTGCTCTCACAAAAATCATGAAAATAGAATAGGAAAATAAAATTAAACGATATAACGGCTAAAGTAAATGAGCGATATCTTTCACAACCCACAAGTGCATAGATTTTTTAAACACGTTTACAAAATTTTCAACACACAACATGAATCTTGTTGTATTTGTATTGAGAGTAAGCAGTATAAAGTCACGTCACCTATTAATAATAAATAATTACAGATTTATTACTAGATTTATTTCTTTATCTGTTCTTTACATGTCTTATTAAGATTAATGTATTATTTTTTTGTTTAATACCAGTATAAAAATAATGTTTATAATATTGAACTTTAAGTTTATGAATGATAACGTAAACTTTATATGTCCATAGTTTACAACTTCATGGACCAAGGATTGGAGTGAGTTTTGAGGTAAATTGACTAAATCAGTACTAGGGGTGACTTTAAAAGGCGAGATTATTTGTGTCAGGTCCTTAGATGTGGAGGCTAACGAGATCCGTTGAATGATCCACCGCTGGCCGCCTTCTTTAAATAAAAAGCCCCATCAGTGAAATAGCTACCCCGCCATGTTTAAATGATCCCAGGGTGATGCTGTAATTTCAATCAATGAAACTAATATTTTTCCGATATACTACGCGTGCTTTATTTCTGTCAAAAACCACATACTCCCGACGTTTCGGTTATTTTTTAGCAAAAGTGATCACGGGCAGACGAAACATTGAATGTCTGTTCGTGAAGAAATACCGTGACATGGTACCTTACGTAAAAATTAAGCCCAATCAAAATTATTAGATTTGAATCCATACTCTGTAGGATTAAAAAATGTCTACTTAACTGACACCACATAGCACATCTAGAAGACAATAACCTTATAAGAAACTGACAATGCAAGTTTATCAAAATAAGAGCGACTGGGGATCTCCAGGTGCACGACACAATTGTAAGAAAAGGTTCTAGAAAGCAAATGTAAGAAAATGTTCTAGGTGAAGAAAAAAAAACGTTTTTGCCGGATATGGTAATATAATATTATTGATTGGCTCTCCAATTATTTCATTTCTAGATTACTGACTCTCTGAGTGATATTGTTTTATGAGTTATATGTGTAAAATTAAACCTATTTTGTTTACATTTTTTTGTTTTATTCGTGACGGTAAAATATCTGCCCGTCCACGCGATGTCATTACGAAATATGCATTCAAAGAACTTAACTAACGTTAAAAAATTCCTATCCGGAAATAAATATTTTTTTATCCCCTGACACGAAAATAGCATCTAAAACTATGTCACTTATTTTAAAATGATATTGATGTACATACGTTGTTTTATAAACATCCTATATACGATCGTTTCTATAAAATGTCATTTTATGAAAAAATAAAGGAGGCGTTTGAGTAGTACCAATTTAAAATATAACTCTTCCTGACATCAATTGGCGAATAATAATACTACTTTTTGCTAATTGCTGTAACGACACAACAGCAGGTGGCGTTGTTAAGTAAGAAAAGGTCAATGAGTGTTTGTTTTGACGTTAGACTAAGAAATTCATTGTTGATTTATATTTTTGTGTGTTTTCTTACCGTGTTCACTAAAAATTGCCTAAAGGAAATAAAAAAAAAAACACAAAATAAATACTAATAATTCCTAAATACCGAGCAAAGCTCGGTGTCCAGATGTTATAGATATAGCCAGTGTACTATAAAAATTAAAATTGTTTTAGTTGCAAGTAATTTAATAATGTTAGGGAAATTTCAATTTTGTTTCTTAGAACGTTTATCAAATTTAAAATATGATAATAATATAATAGAAATCGGAATTAAATTAATTTTTATTACTTATGACATATCTGGCAACTGTAGACGACGTTAATCGCTAGATCATGGTTGGACGTAAAAATTGATTATCTAAATATTTTTTTTAATTAGTCATAACATTTTAAACTTGGGAATTTTATTGATATCAGCACACTTCTATTAGCATGTCATTGTAATAAGTCATTGATTTAAGACTATCCATCTACAATCTACACATTTTTATACATATATTGGAATAAATTTTAATTTATTTTTATTTATATACATGATTTGAGATATATATGTTATACATAGTCTAGCCATAAATATTGTTACAAATAAAACAAAATCTATTGCAAATAACATGTATTACTTTTACAGTATGTAAGTTAATACATAATTATAAAACAATTTAAAACATAAAAAGCTTCAAAGGGGTCTCCATTAGCTGCAATACAGTCCTTTAAACATTGAAACCTGTTATCAATAGAAGCACGCACTCTTTCCATGGGAAAATTCTTCACTGCCAATCTTATGGATTGTTTTAGAGAGTCTAAATTATCATGGCGTTTAGAGCAAGCCCTAATCTCTAAAACTGACCAAAAATCATAATCCAGTGGATTAAGATCGATATTAGACGACGGCCAGTCTTCAACTCTCTCTGATTTGATACCTTTTTCACAAAAGTATGGCTCAGTCACTCCTTCATAGCTAATACCCCACCAAACCATAACTGAAGTCGGATAATATCCACGTTGCACTCTGTTGACTAATTGGGAAGCTTCCTTAGAGCTTTAAGCATAAACACGGTCATTTCGTTTGTTAAAACGTTGCTCAATATTTAAAAAGTTCTAATACGTAAACAAATTTTTCTGTGACCTCCGATGCTTCAGTAATTGTTTACATTTCATCACCCTACTCTTTTTTAAATTATCATTCAAAAATGTCCAATGCGTCTCTTGTAGGCTGCATATCCTAGGTCACCTTTTAAAATACGCGACATTGTTCTAGATGCTAACTTCATCTCGCGAGATAAAACCTTTTGCTTTCGGACAGAATTTCCTCGAATTCTTTCCCTTACTGCTTTGACCACCTTTTTTGTACGAACACTACGTGGACGGCCAGATATTTTTCTGTCACAAACAGAGGAGATCTCTTTGTACCTCTTAATAGCCCGGTACTGATAATTTTTAAAACATTTTTCTTTTTTTGGACAGTTTTAAAATCGCATTGGGCTCTATATCCACTTTGTGTCATGCAATCACAGCGATTCGGTTTTCTTTATCACCCCACTCCATTTTAATATCGCAAAATATTGAACAATGTATTGGCGCTTAAATAAGAAAACCCAATGAAAAATTAAATAAAAATGACAAATTCCAAATTGAAATGTAATATTTTGTTAATTTTTAATTGTTATAGTATTTATGTATATACGTATATATATATATATATATATATATATATATATATATTCCTTAGATAGACCAAGCAATAGTTTATTTTATAAAACGCATAAAAATCAGATTAGTTTTTAGATAAATTTAATTACCTGATTAGATACTAATTTATATAAAAAGCCTAAAATCCCTACACCCAATTACATTGAACCATCAATATGAAAGACCTCCTCGTCGTCGTCGGCTTTGCCGTGGCCGTGTCGGCCTATAGTCCCATCGATACTGATTACCATAATACCTATGGTATTCCTGAGGCTGCTCGCATCAAACTAGCAGAAGAATCCACTGACTTCGATGGCTCTAGGATTGCAGGAGGAAATGCTGCTCGCCTCGGACAGTTTCCGTACTTGGTAATTTTATAAGGAACACATTTATTTATTTTTCTTACAAACAGTTCTAAATATTTGTGTTATTCCAGGGTGGTTTACTGGTCTCATTGACCAATGGCCGTCAATCAGCCTGTGGTTCGTCTCTTATTAGTGCAACCAGAGCAGTCACCGCTGCCCACTGCTGGGTAACTCGTAATGCTAGGGCTCGCCAGGTCACCGTAGTTCTCGGTTCCGTCACTCTCTTTTCTGGTGGCGTTCGTGTTAACTCAAACAACGTCCGCGTGCACCCCAGTTACAATATGGACGCACTTACCAACGACATTGCTATCATCGTCCTAAGCAGCGTCCCTTTGAATAGTAAGCATATGGTACAGTAATAAAATTTTGCAGAAAAGAATAAGTGACATAAAATTCTATTTATCTTCTTTTCTTACAGACAACATCAGACCCATCGGTATCGCTAGTGGTAGCAACCAATACGTTGGAACTTGGGCTACGGCATCAGGTTTTGGAAGAACCAGTGACAGTAAGTATCGTTTTATTCAACATATGTAACACGATATTTCAAATTTTAAAAGAAATAGTCAAATTTATATTTTTTTTATTTGTAGATTCTGCTGTGTCTTCTACTTTGAACCACGTCAATCTTCAAGTAATCACAAACGACGTTTGCCGTCGCACATATGGTAACACAGTCATTGCAACAACAATATGTACTGCTACTCCAAATGGACGCAGCATATGCCAAGGAGACTCCGGTGGCCCTCTGGCAGTGGGAGACACATTGGTATGTTGCTAACACTTTTATACGACCACATACATCATAATTGTTTTGCGGCCAAATAATTTTTATATTTACATGCTTCTTGAGAGAGTAAATGAACAATGTTTATATTTTTTCAACAGATTGGAGTCACATCTTTCACTCATCGTCAAGGATGCACTCGTGGACACCCTGCCGGATTTGCCAGAGTTACATCTTTCAACTCTTGGATTCGCAGCAACATGTAATGACCTATGCTATTAAAAACGTTATAACTACAAATTGACTTGTTTATTATTTCATTCTCTAAATATCGGTTCCTAAAGTCCCAGCTCTTAACTTGTGAGTCAATCTTATAAAAAATAATCGCATCTCTATGGATGTAACGTCTTAAGTATTATGGATTCCAAAGTGTTAAAGCGAATCCTAAAAATCAGAAATTATTCATTTATTTTGATATAGAAGGCATTAATATTTATTTCAAAAAATTCAATATACTTTAGTCTTTTAAAATAAGTTTCAGTTCCTTCAAGAAATCGTTTCTTGTATATTTTATTAACTTTTTTTATATTTTTACATATAAAAATTAAATAGAAAATCATATTATTTAACAAATTATAATATGTATACTTCAAATATATTGCTTACAGTTTTTTATTGGCAGTATCTTAAACAAATAATTACTATAGTTGATTTCAATAAAAATTGGCTATCTTGTAAACAAATGTGCTCAGCTGAAATTGACAAAGACTTGTCTAGGCCCCTAGTGATGGGAATACTCTTCAAGATCCTTTAATCTTATTTATTATCCTAAAATATTTATATAAATTACTATAATTTGTTCATATTTTGTTAAGTATTTATTAGTAAGCTTTTTTAAGGGGTTTAGAAACGAAGAACGAATTTGATTTTATTTTTTTATTTAGTTTAGAAATGCAGAATGGAAATGAGAACACAGAAGATTTTTGCATCCCAATAACTCTAAAATAATTTGGTTCCTTAGCAAACTAAGGACCCCAAAGACCATGGGTTCAAGCTCAACAAGTATTAAGAAATCACAAACGATTGAAAAAATGTTTAATTTGTACTTTTTAGCGCTACTTATGTTTATTTCCGTCTGCTAAATACTAGAAAAAATGCAATTTTGATTGATTGACTGATTTTCATCACAGCCTGTTGAATAACACTATTGTATTTAGAATAATCAAATGTTTTTAATATTTGTGACTTGGTTAAAGTTCAAATAATAATGATTATAAATATCTTTATTTAAAATTACAGTCGTGCTAGTTAAACCATTTATAGTTCAAGAACGGCTTTACTACCTTTAAGGAGAAACAGAGTTCCACACGTCAGCTGTACATTTCTAAGCTGTTAAGTAAAAGAGGCCGCGGACAAAATGTTGCTCATTGTATAATTATTATGTACGCCACTAATTTTTCAAAGACAAATAGATTTTGATAAGTTAAAAATGATCGTATCCACTAGACAAATGTTCAAAATAATTTTATAAAATAAACATTTATAGACAGTAGTTGTTTTATGATGAAAAGATTGTTAAAAACAGTGGTGGGTTCATTGAGATATAATTATTATGAAGACTGATATTTCATTGTACGTAAGAAAGGAGTAAACGTGGTTAATTGCTTTGTTTACAAGATTGCCAATTTCTATTCAAATATATAAATGTATGTATAGTATATTATAGTCATGGGGTGTATGAGCGAACACGTCAACATTAGTAAAAAGGAAATATTATAATATTAGGAAAACCCGAGTGAATAAGATTAAGATAAAGTTGATTGATTACATTGAAATAATTGTATATCTGAATAATCTGACCAATTGATCGTGTCATAAAGAGATAAGTGAGTCTCAAAGTTGTAAGAAAACGTCACCTCGAAATATTTTTTTATTATTTGTTTTGAAGGAATGTTATTATTGATATGAACTAATAATATCATGATTTCCATGGAGCGAAGACAAATTGGAAACAAACATCGAAGATGGATGTAATGTGGATGACGACCATATATATTGAAATTTAAATTATATCCCTATAATTTATGTAAAATTGCAATGTAATAATTAAATAATGATTTGTATTGGTTTGTGTTTTTTTAACGTGTTCACTTAAAAATGCCTAAACGAAATAGAAAAAAAAAATAAATACTAATAATTCCTAAATACCAAGCAAAACTCGTTGTCCAGATATTATATAAATAGTCAAGTGTACTATAAAAATTAAAATTGTTTTGGTTGCAAGTAATTTAGTAATGTTAGGGAAATTTCATTTTTATTTCGTAGAACGTTTATCAAATTTAAAATATGATAAATAATAATAATAATATCCATCTACAATCAACATATTTATATACAGTGGAATAGATTTAAATTTATTTTTATTCATATGCATGAATTGAGATATATATGTAGGTTGATTGTAGATGGATATTATTATTATTATTTATCATATTTTAAATTTGATAAACGTTCTACGAAATAAAAATGAAATTTCCCTAACATTACTAAATTACTTGCAACCAAAACAATTTTAATTTTTATAGTACACTTGACTATTTATATAATATGTGGACAACGAGTTTTGCTTGGTATTTAGGAATTATTAGTATTTATTTTGTGTTTTTTTTTTATTTCGTTTAGGCATTTTTAAGTGTCTCTCATAATTTAAGTGGAACAAATCGACAAACGCGCGTAGATTGTTGCGTTACATTAGTCAGCCGGCAAAAATATTGAAGGCATTTTTAAATCGAATTATCTGTGATGAAAAGTAGATATACTACGATAAACGGGACCACTCATAGAAATGGCTGAACCTTGGCAAAACTCCATGAGCAGTCGAAGGTGCTTTCAAAGATTTTATTTATTTCCGTCCAAATGGTTTCTTTAGTAAAGGAATCGATAACCTACTTACAAGATGGCTAAAGTGTATAGTAATGGTACATACTTTGATTAAATAAATATATTATATTTTGAAAAAAATCCAATTTCTGTTACTCGATAAAAGAAAAAGAATTTCAAATATTAGGTCCTAATAATCACAATAGAAAATAAAGTTTGTGTGGTAAAAATTACAATGACAACTATTAAACATATGTTAAATAGAAACAAGTAGACGCGTTTAATTTTAATCATTGAAATCATATTACTCATTAGATAGATAAATTTAATTAAATGATTAGATACTAATTTATATAAAAAGCCTAAAATCCCTACACAAAATTACATTGAACCATCAATATGAAAGTCCTCCTGGTCGTCGTCGGCTTTGCCGTGGCCGTGTCGGCCTACAGTCCCATCGATACTGATTACCATAATACTTATGGTGTACCTGAGGCTGCTCGCATCAAACAAGCAGAAGAATCCACTGACTTCGATGGCTCTAGGATTGCAGGAGGAAATGCTGCTCGCCTCGGACAGTTTTCCGTACTTGGTAATTTTATAAGGAACACATTTATTTATTTTTCTTACAAACAGTTCTAAATATTTGTGTTATTCCAGGGTGGTTTACTGGTCTCATTGACCAATGGCCGTCAATCAGCCTGCGGTTCGTCTCTTATTAGTGCAACCAGAGCAGTCACCGCTGCCCACTGCTGGGTAACTCGTAATGCTAGGGCTCGCCAGGTCACCGTAGTTCTCGGTTCCGTCACTCTCTTTTCTGGTGGTGTTCGTGTTAACTCCAACAACGTCCGCGTGCACCCCAGTTACAATATGGACGCACTTACCAACGACATTGCTATCATCATCCTAAGCAGCGTCCCTTTGAATAGTAAGCATATGGTACAGTAATAAAATTTTGCAGAAAAGAATAAGTGACATAAAATTCTATTTATCTTCGTTTCTTACAGACAACATCAGACCCATCGGTATCGCTAGCGGTAGCAACCAATACGTTGGAACTTGGGCTACAGCATCAGGTTTTGGAAGAACCAGTGACAGTAAGTATCGTTTTATTCAACATATGTAACAAGATATTCCTAATTTTTAAAGAAATAATTTGTATTTTTTTAATTTGTAGATTCTGCTGTGTCTTCTACTTTGAACCACGTCAATCTTCAAGTAATCACAAACGACGTATGCCGTCGCACATATGGTAACACAGTCATTGCAACAACAATATGTACTGCTACTCCAAATGGACGCAGCATATGCCAAGGTGACTCCGGTGGCCCTCTGGCAGTGGGAAACACCTTGGTAAGTTGCTAACACTTTTATACGACCACATACATCATAATTGTTTTGCGGCCAAGTAAATTTTTTATATTTACATGATTCTTGAGAGAGTAAATGAACAATGTTTATATTTTCAACAGATTGGAGTCACATCTTTCACTCATCGTCAAGGATGCACTCGTGGACACCCTGCCGGATTTGCCAGAGTTACATCTTTCAACTCTTGGATTCGCAGCAACATGTAATGACCTATGCTATTAAAAAACGTTATAACAATAAATTGACTTGTTCGTTATTTCATTTACTAAATATCGTTTCCAAAGTTCCCATCCGTGAACTTATAAATCAATATCAATCCCTCGGTTCCCAGAAGTTAACTTATAAGTCAATCTTCTAAAAATTTATCGCTGCTTCTCTATGGATATAACATTTTAAGTATTATGGATTTCACGATGTTAAAGACTCCCAAAAAAACAGAAAATATTTATTTATTGTTAAATAATAATTCATTTCCTTCAAGAAATCATTTCTTGTATATTTTATTAGCTTTTTTTATATTTTTACATTTAAAAATTAAGTAAAAAATCATATTATTTAACAAATTACTATATGTATACTTCAAATATCTATGTTGCTTACAGTTTTTATTGGAAGTATCTTAAACAAATAATTACTTTATATGTATAGTATATTATTATGGTTATAATATTATCGTAGACAAATATAGTAACGAAAATAGAGTCAAGATACCCTGATATTTTACGGACGAACTTATGATATACGAATAGCTTCCTCTCCATTTATATGTGATGCTATCCATGTCGACAAAAAAAACATATATATGTAGTTAAATCTACGACATATAAAACAATTCATATTACAGTACATATTTTAAACTTTAAACTTAGACTAGACTATGTCCTAGTACGGGAGCCCAAGGGGGCATTATAGAGTGTCTTGGGCTGGCAAAATGAGTATGAACTCTTTTGGTCTTGGAGTGTATGAGCGAAATCGTCAACATTAGTAAAAAGAAAATATTATAATATCAGGAAAACCCGAGTGAGTCAGATTAAGATAAAGTTGATTGATTACATTGAAAAACTTGTAAGAAAATGTCACCCCGAAATACAATTTTTATTTTTTATTTTGACGGAACGTTATTATTGATATAAACTAATAATCTCAAGATTTCCATGGAGCGAAGACAAATTGGAACCAAACATCGAAGATGGATGTAGTGCGGATGCCGACCACATATATTGAAATTTTAATTATATATAAATTATGTTAAATTTTAATAATCTACACGAAGTTTTAGTTTTAATAGTCTGTATTGTATTTTATATTAAAAAAAAATATCAAATTCTAATACGTAAATATGAATATATAGTATATGAATTTCCTTCAAAAAGCTCAGACTCGCGATATACTCCATACATATTTTTTTTATTTTTTAGCTTAAGAGCCAGTGAACGGATACCTGTATGTATTTGACCAGACCTGGGATTTTGCACGTTGAGACCCCTTGACCTACCGTACATGAGATGGGGACTCACTAAGCCCAAAGTGGTGGACGCGGCTAGTGCGCTGGTAGGACAGGTATCGATTTTTGGCTATCTATAAATGCATTTCACCACGTCTGCCGTTTTGATATTTGAAAATATATCATTATTATTAGTGGAAAAAAATAATGGCAGACCACTATCACGCGTTTAACATTGTGGCAGACAATTTTGAAAATGTTAAAAAAATATTTTTTGAAATTAATTGACCAGATCTGCCATCTATTTATTTTTTTTATTAAAGTCTTAAAAACTTATATTATTAACGGCAGACTTATTCATTTCGTATAAATACCAGCAGATAAAAAAATCTGAGATACACTACCCGGTCAGATGTATGCATATAGCTATCTTTTTTCTTTTTCCAATGTGTTACTATTGTTCACATTCTAGCCTATAGTACCCTATCGGTTTTTGTCAGATGGTCATAGTTTATCTGCCAACCTTCACACAGATGTCTCATGTTCGTGAATTTTATAAAATGCATAGTGTTGCTTTTGACTATTATCTATTTAATATATTTGAGATTATGGCGGATGAAAAAAAAAATGCAGTGTGTTTTTTGTGGCACGTCAAAAAGTGTAAAATTATTAATATTTTCGAAAGAGTTTATGACGAAATGTCAAAAAATTTTAAGATAAGAAAATTTCATAAATTAAAGTACAGTGATAAAAATTTACCTAAGGAAATTTTCGATTCAGGATATCATAGTAGTTGTTACAAGACGTTTACAGCTTTAAAGAATTTTTTTCAACGGATACCAATAAAAAAGTTTCATTACAGAGAACGTACTCGTCTGCAACTGAACAACCATCAACATCAGCTCATAGCCCAATAGTTGATGGTAACATGGTAGAGGATTCTATTTTGAGTGACGTGTATATTTCTGCGGCAAATGAAGTTGTAGAAAACAATATTGAAGCCGAAGTAGATCATCCGATCGAGGAAAGACCATTGGAAGATTCCACAGAATCATCAACGGTTCAGACTTCTGATACCGCGGCTTCAGCAAACCTGAATTTTTTTTTGCAAAAAAAAAAAAACAGTTCAAGTCTAAAAATGAGCCATTGCGTATTTCAAGCAAAGATCAATTTCAAATAAGCATCTTATCACAATTGAAACCAGATACTGAAATTTATATTGAAACCTTGACGAAAATACAAAAATGTTTCCTCTCGTAAAGTACATTACCATGATATTTATGGACAAAATTTCATTAATCAAAAACGATCATTGCTGAAAAGTCCTGTCCGTACTTCAAGGCACATATCTCGAGAAATACATGAAACTGTTTATAAAGAAATTTGTAATTTAATTGAAGAAAATGACGTAAAGCGGGGACGTTGTTATTTTTTTTTTTTCATATATACATAAAGAGTATCTCGATATGTTTAAAGAACTGAGTGAAGGCTCAGATGCAACTTTAATATTTACCACACACTACATATTTTGAAGAGAAGATCATATTTTATATATATTTATTTATTGATTTAGTAATGCATCAATGATGGTTTTTTATTTATCTAACGTTTAAATTTTGTATTCAACAAATAAATTTAAAAAATAAAATACAAATTATAATTATTCTTCCTTAGCAGTATACTTTCATATTTAAGATTTTTTCGTTATGTATCTCCTTCTTTACAGTTAACTTTAAAAGTTTAGTATGTAGACTACATGGAATATATTAAATTCATTAAATACAGTGATTTACTTATTTAATAATGTTATATTAATGAAAAACTGCTATCGTAATATAAAGACATCTGACTGGGTAGTGTATCTCAGATTTTTTTATCTGCTGATATTTATACGCAATGAACAAGTCTGCCGATAATAATATAAGTTTTTAAGACTTTAATAAATAAAATATATAGATGGCAGATCTGGTCAATTATTTCAAAAAATATTTTTTTAACATTTTCAAAATTGTCTGCCACAATGTTAAACGCGTGATAGTGGTCTGCCATTATTTTGTTCCACTAATAATAATGATATATTTTCAAATATCAAAACGGTAGACGTGGTCAAATGCATTTATAGATAGCCAAAAATCGATACCTGTCCTACCAGCGCACTAGCCGCGTTCACCACTTTGGGCTTAGTGAGTCCCCATCTCATGAACGGTAGGTCAAAGGGGTCTCAACGTGCAAAAACCCAGGTCTGGTCAAATACATACAGGTATCCGTTCGCTGGCTCTTAAGCTATTTGTTTTATCTTTATAAATAATTATTGTAGTGAATTGTTTGATACTTCTTGCTAATAATGTTCATGCTTTATTTGTTGTTTTTTTCACCTTAATTATTATTTTTTTTTAATGTAGGTAAGGTGAAAATAGCCGTGAAACCTGTTTTGGTAAAATTGTTTTTACTCTGCCGAAATAATTTATCGTAATATACGCTGTATATTTTCCCATAAATAAATAAATAATTGTCGAAAGGAATACCTAAATATTAGCTTTTTACATACAAAACAGTCTATTACGAGTCTGTATATATTTTTTTACATTTTAGAAATAATTCACACTCCTTTCCCTCAACTAAAATAGAAAACAAATTAAGCGTCGTTGCTTCCTTTCTCTTAATTTACACATGGGTACATCGAATTCAGTATCGAAACGGTAATATAATTAATGACGTCTATTAATCAATATTAAGTCAGTGGTGGCCTAGTGGTTAAGAGGCCCGCCTCTCATGCAAGGGGGTGTGGGTTCGATCCTGGCAAGTACCAATGTGATTTTACCGAGTCATATGTACTTTCTGAGAGTATTTAGCCATAACTGATTCATGCATTCCCAAAAGAGGGTTGATGTCAGGCAGGCGGCCGGTCGTAAAAACAATTAGCCAAAATTATTCACAACATGTAAGGCAGACCCTGGCTAAAGCTGGAAAATTGCCAGGTAGAAGAAGATTAATCAATATTATTTCGTAATGTTTCATGATTCATGAAGGGAAGGGGCGCCACTGCGGCACTGTCAACATCGTACTCGTTATTAAGCCTTATTAAATTTAATTAAAATTATATAAGGGTGCCAAAACGAAGTGATACAATTTAAACATAAAAACAGTGCATAAAATAATTCGAACAACATATAAAACACAGTTATGCACTGTACCATATACCTTAAACTTTATAAAATTCGTCAAAATACCAAGACTCATATTATTATTTAAGTACCAAATATTAGTGGAACATGTGTACTACAGAACTGGAACTTGAACTACATTAAAACAGTGCATAAACCTAAAGCATCAGAAAATATAACGTCACTATAACGTCAAAATATAACGTAAATAATCACCATAACAAATCCCTTTGTTCCGAATCATCGATTTCTACTAGCGCCATCTATTATGATCTATCGAAACCTCTTAATCAGATCCAAGTTCAACGCGCACTCCGTTATCTCACAGCGCTTGGACAACTCGATCGCCAATATAAAAAAAGTACTTGCCTGTCCTCATAGAGGACGCCAAGTGTATCGTAAACAGAAATGGAGGAATTAAAAAGTATGTTAATTAGCATGCAGCAAGATATAAAGCAGCAAAAACAAGAAACATGCTAGAGATCAAAAAGGTTATTAAGGATACACTAATCAACAGCCTCAGCGAGAAGTTTAATAACTTAGAACTGAAAAACGAGCTCTTAAAGAAGAAAGTAGAAGATCAATCAAATAAAATTAACAACCTAGAAAAACAGTCTCAACATAGAGGCTGTTAGAAGGCTGGGGAAAAACGGAGTAAAAGTTCGACCGATAGCAATAACGTTCAACATCTAAGGTAACAAATTGAAAATTCAAAAAAATAAACATAACCTTCAAAATACTACCTGTTACTTAAAAGAAGCCTACCAAGTTGAAGTTCTAACTAAACGTAATGAGCTACAAATACTACTACAAAAAGAAAAGGAAGCAGGAAACACCGCTTTTATAAAATAAGACAAAATTATAGTACTGAGCAACAAAACACTCGAACAGAAACAATCAAGCAAAATAAAACCTATCGGAATCCGCGGAGACGCTCCACCATACCAACCAAAATGCCCAACATACTAATAAAAAACTACCTAAGAAAAAAAAAAAAGGTAATGAAAAACTATATAATACAAAAAAACCCCAACTAATCCTCGTTCAGACAGAACAGCAATCAAAATCGGCAGTCCTTCCTTCCAACCACTTATCTCCCAGCACGGCGGGTCACCGCAGGAAAGTTCGACCAACCCCCTTCCCCCCCCCCCCAACAATTATTAAAACAAGAACTAACAACAGAGAGAGATGGCATTCCTCGGGGGAGGCTTTTACCCGAATGGGGTCCAGGCTTTAATATTAATCTCAATCAATCAATTTATGAAAATAATCGATTTATAAAAATATGTAGGTAATTACAAAAATAGAATTTATAATTAAAATCAAATTTATTTACGTTATTAAATTGTAATTGAATCTTATAATCATTGTTATCTTATATAATTTACTATGCAAGGAATAAATAAAGCATTCTTTATGAAAATTTTAGAGATCTCTTTTTCAATCCATTCGTGATAGATTTAGAGTGTTTTATTAATTATACTTATGATATAATACAATAATACTTAAACACTGATAATTACAAATAAAAAATACGTATGTTTGTTGTTCTATTTATAATACACACTTTAATGATATAAAAGGATTAAGAGATAAAGATATACGTCAAGTAAAGATTAGGTGATATCAATTAGATGAGAAATACGTAATCATTATTGAGAATGATTTCGCTTTAATTAATATCAAAATTTATTAACTCATATTATAGTTGAACTTTCAACATTATAGAGTTTAGTGGAACAATTCGCCAAACTCGCGTAGACTGCTGGGTTACATTAGTCATCAGGCACAATGAAAGCATTTTAAATCGAATCATTATCTGTGATGAAAAGTGGATCAAGTACCATAATCGGGGAACGCTCATCGCAATGGCTGAACCTTGGCAAACCATCCAAATCCTGCCACAAGCGAAAACTGAATCAAAACAGGACACGTGTGAGGGTATGGTGAACTAGTGCCGGTATTGTTCACTTAAGCTTTCTTAAATCTGACCAGATGATTACGGCAGATGTGGATTGTATACAATAGTAGACCATAACAGAAATGCTAGCTACTAAACAACCAAAACTTGTCAATTGGTCAATCGTTCATCACTGTCGCTTCGGAACAACGCTAAAGCAGACACTGCACAATAAACAGCTATCAAATTAACTGCAATCGGAATGTTTAAGACATCTACCGCACTTCCCGTACCTTTCTCCAACAGATAACTCGCAAGGGAAAAACATCATCACTCCGATAGAGCAGACGAATACGCTATGACTAAAGTGCATATATAATGGTACATACTTTGATTAAATAAATCCTTACTTATAAATGCGAAAGTAACTCTGTCTGTCTGTCTGTTACTCTTTCACGCCTAAACGACTGAACTGATTTTAATGAAATTTGGTACAGAGATAGAGTTGACCTTGAGAAATAACAGGATAGTTTTTTATCCTAGACCTTGGAAAAGTTCTCTTGGAAACGCGATATAACCGAACTCGACACGGGCGAAAAGCTAGTATATTATATTTTGAAAAAAAAAATCCAATTTATATTACTCCATTACAAAGAGCCAATTAGGAATAAAATGTGGTTAAAATTACAATAAAAACTATTAAACATACATATGTCAAATAGGATACAAGTAAAGTCGTTTTATTATAATCATTGAAATCATTTTACTCATTAGATAGATTAGTTTTAAGATAAACTTAATTACCTGATTAGATACTAATTAATATAAAAAGACTCAAATAGCTACACCCAATTACATTGAACCATCAATATGAAAGTCCTCCTGGTCGTCGTCGGCTTTGCCGTGGCCGTGTCGGCCTACAGTCCCATCGAAACTGATTACCATAATACTTATGGTGTACCTGAGGCTGCTCGCATCAAACAAGCAGAAGAATCCACTGACTTCGATGGCTCTAGGATTACAGGAGGCAGTTCTGCTCGCCTCGGACAGTTTCCGTACTTGGTAATTTTATAAAGAACACATTTATTTAATTTTTCTACAAACAGTTCTACATAT